CACTAACTGTTTGCTAGAGACCCCAGATCCTTACTGCATAAAACTCTCCAAAGTCTTAGTTCAAACTGCTATAATAGAGTACCATAGACTGGGAGGTTTATAACAACAGCAATTTATTTCTCACAGTTCTGGAGGCTGGAAGTCTGAGATCAGGATGTCAGCATTGTCAGGTTCTGATGAGGGTCTTCTGGGTTGCCAACCACCGACTTCTCATGGTATTCTCACATGGAAGAAAGAGAGCTAGCTAACTCTGGCCTCTTCTGATAAGGGCACCAATCTCATTTTGGAGGACTCCACCCTCATGACCTAATTACCTCCCAAAGTTCCCACCTCCAAAACATTCACATTGGGATTAGGATTTCAACAAATGAATTTTGTGGAGATACACTGAGCCTGCTGCATGTCTCAGGTGTCCTTATAACACGACAGCTGGCTTCCCTCAGAGTGAGTGAGCCAAAAGAAAAATAATGATGGTAGACAGAAGATAGAAGTCATAGTGTCTTTTATAACAGTCTATGAAGTGATTGTTATAAAAGTTATCACTTCTGTCCTATTATATTAGTCACATAGGCCATCCTACTTCAGTGTGGAAAGGGACTACACAAAGTGTAACTAGCAGGAGGTGGAGATCATTGGGGACCATCTGAGAGGCTGACCACATGAAAACTGAATATTCTAATAATTTAACTTTTGAGAACTGAATTCCAATAGGAGGGTTCAGATTTTTCATCTGTCTGGTTGGCAGAACCTAAAACAGGAACTAGCACATAGTAGATGCCCAAGTAATATTAAATGAATGAATAAATGTCAATATTAAGTAACTGTGACATTCATCTGCAGCCACAGACTGGTAGGATCTGAGCAATTGGTTCCAGTTGTCTTTATTATATTTTATTCAAGATTCAATTGATTTGCATATAGTCACTGACCATAAGAGAAGGCAATCTCCCCTTTTTTAGTGGAAAATAAAATTAGATTGGATGTATAATATTTGCTAGATAAAATTCACTCCTCGAAATATCATACTTTGGTTTGCCTAGTTCTCTAGAACCATCAGTAATTGGTTATTCAATAAGTGAATATTTTTTGAGGAAAATGTAAAAGTCACAAGCAATTCATCACTAGGGCCTATTTTGGATCAAAATAGCAAGTAAATCAGCTATAGATTTTTCGTATGATCTAACACCTGAGACTCAAGTAGCCAGTGCTTAATTGCTAGATTGGCTGCTTCTGGCATATTGTGCAACCCCCAGATTTACTTCACCTTGAGACTAGACTAACAAAGTATGTCAGATGAAGAACTAAGACTAACTCCTTAGTGGGGACAAACCATTTAGAATCCATGAAACCAGGTTTCTCATTCAATATTGTATTAATCAGGATTGTTCAGTGAAACATAGCCAATAGGATGGATGGATGATAAATGATAAATGGATAGATAGAAGATGATAGATAGATAGATGATAGATAGGTGACAGATGGATAAAATGAGATTTATTATGAGGAATTGTCTCATGCAATTATGACGGCAGAGAAGTCCCCTAGTCTGCTATCTATAAACTGGAGACCCAGGAAAACCAATGGTGCAATTCAGTTTGAATTGAAAGGCCTAGGGACCAGAAAAGCCAGTGGTATAGATCCCAGTCAGAGGACAAGAGTAGAACAGGTATCCAAGCTCAAGCAGTGAGGAGAAAAAAGCAGATTCTTCCTTCCTTGGCCTTTTGCTCTATTTGGGCCCTTGGTGGATTGTATCATGCTCATCCACATTGGGGAAAGCAATCTTCTTGACTGAGTCCACTGATTCAAATGCTAATCTCATCCAGAAACAACCTCACATATACACTCAGAAGTAATATTTAATCTGGCACCCCATGACCCAGTAAAGTTGACACGTAGAATTAACCACCACAAATATTAATGATTATCATTGATATTATGACTTAAATGCCTAATTAGAGCCATATGCTTTTCCTCAATTTTTACACAGAACAGTCATGGAGAATATTCATCCCTCACTTCAATTCCCTTTACCTGAGAACCATGCTTACCCAGAAATAGTTCTTATAACCATGTTGCTATTATAAGAACCCATCTTTCTGGTCATAGTTGATTAAATTAGGGAATGCCAGTCTGACCAAAAAAAAGGCTAATCAGATTTTATTCCCTATGTGTTTGGAATTGGAACTGAGACCTGTGTATCAGTCACTTGAACAGAAGAGTTATAAAGAGTTATAGAGTGGTCATCTTCTTCTTGTGCAAGAAAGGTTAAGGCATGGGCAGAGAATACCTGCCTGGGTATTTGCTTGCCAGATTGTTCCAAACCTTACTGAGTCTTATCTGCCCTTGAGGTTCATGAGATACCTCAGTATACTTTTAAAACAATTGCTTTTTTGTGGCATAAGTTGGCTTAAATTAGATTTGCTTCCTGTATCAAACCTGTTTTACAGATGAGAACACTGAGAAGTTGAGTAATTTGCACAGGACCACTGGGTTATAAAGTCAGCAGAGCTGAGAGTAAATCAATATCACATTGACTCTTGAGCCTATCTATCTCCTATGTCACTAGAAGAAAGTGCTTCCTTTTCTCAGCTTAAGAAGCTCACACATCTGTAAACTTGTGTCCATGTGACTTGCTTTGGTGGAAGAAACATAAGCAGAGATGACATGATTCATTCTTAGTGAAGACCTTGATTGCTAGTGCTTAACACTCCATTCAACTTCTGCTTTTACAGCTCCAACGAGTATCACAGTATGGAGAAAATGTAAGACCAAATAAGCAAGAAGCACTGAGCCAACATGTGGAGAACATGTGTCTGGGAAGCTACTGAACTGACAGTACTCTTCTTTTGAGAAAGAAGTAAATTTTTGTTGTTTTAAGACATTGAGATTTTGGAGTTGTCTGTGCAGTATAATGAATCTTATCCTAGTATAGTCAACCAATCATATATTATACTTCAGTCCTAATTCTGTCCTTGATTTCATATTAAATCAGTTCCAACTTCTTCTTCTCTTAGAGCTATTATTTCAGTTATATATTGTTGCATAACAAATCACTTCAGAACTTAAAACAACAATGAGTTATTATTTCTCATGATTCTGTGGGTTGACTGGGCTCAGCTACATGGTTCATCTGTTCCATGAAGAGTGCAGAATTTCTCTCATTTGGCTGGGAGCTTGGCTGGAGCTGGAATGTGTGAGATGATCTTCAACCTTGGGGAACTCTCTTCACATGGCCTCTCATCATTCAGAAGTGTAGCCCATGCTTCTTTACAACAGACATGGAGCTTTCCAAGAGGACAGGCCCTAATGCTCCAGTATCAAGCCTCTGCTTTCATCACATTTACTGTCACATTGGCCAAAGCAAGTCACATGGCCAAGCCTAGAGTCAATGTGGATAGAATTACAAAGGGCATGAATTCCAGAAGGCATGGTTTTTTGGTGACCATCAATATAAGTCTATAGTAGCCGTTGATAAATATTAGCAATGAATATTCACTGTTTAAAAAATGTTTTCACATTTATTAACTCATTTTTTAAAAACAATAACCCTTGAGGAACAAGTAACTGTCACCCATGTTTTACATAGACTAGGGCTCATGTTCTTACTCATAAGTGGACCCTGAACACCTATCATAATTCTACAAGAAAGGGATTAGCAGTACTGGGACACTGCCCGTCAGGGGGAGGGCACATAAAATCAGTCAGGGTGCCTGATCCTAATCCAGGCAAAGTGAGGGCCAATGGGAGGCCCAAACTGCACCTATGCCTAGATCACTTATGTACCCAACCCTGACTTATACCCCACATCTTTAAAATAAAATAAATAAAAAAACAAAGATGGGCTCAGAAACCTGGACACCTAAAATCACACAACTAATACATGGTAGAATTGAAACTTCATTTTGGGTCTTATTACTGCAAGTTCTATGTTTTTCTATAATATTAGTTACTCTTTGGCCAGCACAACCTGTGTTATCTAGCTATAGTTTCCATGTCTGATCTTTTCAAGTTTTGACATTTTCTTGACAAATAAACAAAAAGTCATTCATTAAAAACATATTTTTTCTAGAGCTTATATTATTTATTTGTTTTTTAATCTGGGGGAAAGAAATACACCTAATTCTACCGTGCTCTGTGGCTCAGAATGTAATCCCGCACCTTTGGAAGGCTGAGGTGAGTGAATTGCCTGAGCCGGCGGGTTCGAGACCCGCCTGGGCAGCAAGACCTCATCTCTACAATAAATCAAAAAATTAGCCGGGCGCGGTAGCACATGCCTGTAATTCCGGCTACTTGGAAGGCTGAGGCGGAAGGATCGCCGGAGTCCAGCAGGTCGAGGCTGCGGTGGCCGGGAGCGGCCACTGCACTCCAGTCTGGGCGACAGAGTGAGACTCCGACTCAAAAAAAAAAAGAAATACACCTAATTCTTAAACACTTTAATAAAGATTTTGTAACAGAGCTAGTAGCATTGATCGCTTTTTGTAAAGCAAGCCTCAACTAAGCCTGGATGACTATTTGCAAGTACACACCTTACATCAAATCCTGAAAGGGAATTTACCAAAATTTGGTACTTTGTGGTACCCAAACTTTCTTCCAAGAAACAGAGCTTCTTTACTGTACCCTAGTCCCATGACTGAGGATTTCAGCCCAAAACTCCCAGACCCAAAGTTCCTTATGGCATTTATACTATTGTACAACTGTCAGTGCTAACAGGGCTTGGATCACTGGGGTGGAGTCGGAGTGGTGTGACATAAATAAAAATGTATGTTGAGAAAGTATCCAAAATTTCTTTTATTACTGCTTGCAATTCCTGGATGCTTGAGAATAAATCACATGGAGATTAGAATCAGATCTGGCTCAGAAGTGCGACCTGCGGTGCTGTTGCCATGGTAATCACTGGCCAAGAAACAGAGATCCAGGGGAACTATAGCCTCTGCTGCCCTCATGTGCTGGGACCTGCACCTGGGTTAGATCCTCCAAGGAATGACCTCTGCTGTGTCCTTTCATCTGGTCCCATACTCTGGGCCTTCAGCCTCCAAGTGACACGTTTCATTAGAAACCTCAGTTGCCTGGGCCTTTGATCCATTCCTTTCACTTTTCTTGTCACTTTCCTGGTTTGGAGAGAAATAATGAAAAGTTTAACTGTCCAGCCAAATATCTCTGAGTCCTTCCCACCATCCCTTGTATAGATACCCATGTAACAAGTTTCTCCTTTAAGCAATCTCAGGCTTCACACTCTATCAACTTCTTCTACAACTCATCTCTTGACATCCTAACTTCACAGTAGCAAAAGGCAAGTACAAAGAACAGTCATGGGGCGAGGAGCATTAGACACAATAAGTCGTTCTGACTATGGGTGCTCAGTGAAATCGTGGTACATTCTTAGCTGGTGGGAAAATATTTTTCTATATCAACCTGCAGTTGGAGCAAATAACTCAACAGTCCCATCTCAGGCCCCTTGGTGTTCCCGTCAGGGTGTCACATACCTTATTTTGTATTCTATAGTACTCGTTTAACACATACTGATATTTGGGTTGAGTGAGACCAAAGAAAACAGCAAATCCTCCACCAAGGAATTCACATGCTAAAAGAAAGAACACACACTTGGGTAAAATGAATTAATAGCTAAAGCTTAGCATCAGGGCCAGACATGGTGGCTCATGCCTGTAATCCTGGCATTTTGGGAGACCAAGGCAGGAGGATCACTGGAACTCAGGAGTTCAAGACCAGCCTGGGCATCATAGTGAGATCCCATCTCTATTAAATTAAAAAATATATAAAGAAATTTTAAAAAGCTTAGCATCAGTAGGTGCCAAGAGTTTGAACTTGCTTGCAAGTGATCTATTACCACACCTAACTTGCCTTGGACTCTCAAAGAAATTCTAGGACTCAGAGGAAATTTTCCAAATCTTCAATCTATATAGGGGATTGTATTTAAACTGTCCTTTCCAGATGAATAATCAGAAGGTAGTTTCAAAATACGTAACAACAGGTATCACATGGGTGCTGAGCAACTGGAACAGATACTGCTCCTCCCCATGCATATCGGTTGAACATCAGCTCTTGGTATATATTTCAAATAATACCCCAAACTCAATCCAGTGTTCCCAAGATACACATCAGAAACTCTTCCATGCATTAAGACACTCCTTAGAAGTAGTTGAAGGCTTGCAAAGCCTCTGAAACCCAGGTATACTTTATTTTTTTCTAAAGAATTCTCATTTCAAAAAAACCCACTATTTTTTAAAGCTGTGATACAGCATGCATGTGCATGCCTGTGCTTTAAAATAAAAGTTTGACTCATTGGAAACCTGAAAAAGAAGTAGTTTAAGGCCTTCCTTGTCTACCTTCAGTAGCAAGGTGGCCTATAGGCTCAGTCCTGTGATTATTAGAGTTAGGGATGGTTTAGCATAAATAAAGAGTGGTTTCCTGAAGGTGTCGCCTAGAAATGTTTTCTTTTAAAATTAAAGAATTTCTGACCTCCCCACCCTTCCAATTATAGGACTTGCTAATTCCCCTGGCTCATTCTACCTCTTGAAATGGTGCTCGTATAGTACATCAAAATGATGTTGTTTGCTCGTAGAGTACATCAAAATGATGTTGTTTTATCTTTTCAAAGACACTCTATCTCTTTATTCTGTTTATTTGCCAGAATGCCTAGTAAATGTGTAGAAGAGACATTTAAAAAATATTAGAATACATCTTAGGAAGCTTTTCTATTTATAACTTACTAGAATTTTAAATTGAAAAAATTAATTACCTGTGTCATCTGGGTTCCAACTCTATCTATAGTCTCTGTGTAGAGATCATGGCACTGACTGCTGGATATTTATGCTTCTACTACACTCTTGAAGCCCTAGGCAGAAGCACTTAACATTACAGTTCTGTTTGAAACCCGAAGGCAACGAGGCTCACGACTTAAGTCAAAGCCTAACATGCAAGTCACCCTAGTTTGTCTTCTGCATGCTCTCAATTCCATATTGAGTTTTGCTTCTTTTGCCTGACCTAATCTGCTATGACCTCTTTCCTCCAAAATATGTCACCTCTTCAAACAATCTTGCCTTAACTAAAGCATAGATCTTTCTGGGAGACAACATTTTTTCTGTCCATGTGTTGTGGTCAGGGTAGGGTTGATATTTACCAGGGTCCCAAACATAACTCCCGAATCACCAACCTTGCCACCCTTGTGTAAAAGCACTTATATCTGAAGGCTTATACTATCTGACTAAATAACCTCATTATTACTTTTTGCTGTAATTTAAAGACTCCATGATCACTTTCATGGTCCTCAGACTGGCTCAGCCAGTCAAACTTTCACAGCTCTCTTAAGGTGTCTCCTCCATATGTCAGCATTCCCAACCTCCCAGGCCATAGTCTCTATGCTTTTCCTATCCTGACAATTGTGACAACTAATTATAATTATTGGTATGTTTACTAGTCTATATCATCCACTGAGTATTGAGCTCCTTGAAAGCAGAGACTGTATTTCCTTGTGTCCCAGGGTCCAGCACAGTGCTTAGCATATTTTAGGCACTTAGTCATGGTTTTTAAATGAATGAATTAAAACCAGTTCCCAAGAGCTGCATTTTATATTTTCTCAGATCCTTAAAGTAGTTTTCCTCCCTATCATATTCACAAGATATGTAAATTAGAAGGAAATGAGTAACTAGATGTTGCTGATTGTGCTCTAAAGAAAATTGGTGAAAGTCAAGCAAAGTAAGATTTAGGATTTTAGCTGTTGTAAATAGTCACTTGGTCCATTCATTACGTCCCTGCAAGGGGTCAATAAAGTTTATGTTTATAAGTGAGTGATTATCATGAAAGAACTTAGAACTGTGTCATATAACAATAATTTCTTTAAAACCTGGAAGTTTATTCTGGTGAAGGGTTAGCTCAGGGAAGACTGACTATAATCTTTAAATATTTGAAATTCTGTCTTTTGAAAGAAAAACTAGATCAGTTTTTTGTATGGTTCTAAGAAAGACAAATAGAATCAGTGGAAAGAACTTTAAAAGAAGAAGAAGCCAGAGCATGGTGATTCAAGCCTGTAATTCCAGCACTTTAGAGGCTGAGACAGAAAGATTGCTTGAGTCTAGGAGTTCGAGACCACCCTGGGAAACATAGTGAGATCTCATCTCTACAAAATAAAAATAAATTAGCTGGGTGTGGTAGCATGTGGCTCTAGTCTCAGCTACTTGGGAAGCTGAAGCAGGAAGATCCCTTGAGCTCAAGAGTTCAAGGTTGGTGCGATCTATGATCATACCACTGAACTCCAGCCTGGTTGACAGAGTGAAACTTTCTCTCAAAATAAACAAACTTTTTTTAAAAAAAAGACAAAATTTGAGCCAAAGAAAGAAAGAATTCACTAAGAAGAGTTGGCAAAAGATTAAAGGGTCTGTCTGAAGATATGAGGTTCTAGGCTTTAAGGACTGTTCAAGCATAGGCTTAGAAGTCACCACATCATTACTTCTTCAGAATGTCATGAAGTACACTAAGCCATTGGAAATCCCATCAGACTCTGCGGGTCTATCAGTATATATTTAAGACAGAAAACAAACAAACAAAAATACTACTTTAGTAGTACTTACTAGAAATTGAGGTTCTTATTATTCGTCCTGCCCAAAACCGTAGGTAGGACCCCCATGAAAGTTTAGACTAAAAAAAAATGAGAGAAATCAAGTTAGAGTACTTAATAAGAGAAATGGTAGCCAGGCTCAGTGGCTCAGCCGGTAATCCCACGCTTTGGGAGGCTGAGGTGAGTAGATTGCCTGAGCCCGCGGGTTCGAGACCCACCTGGGCAACTTGGTGAGACCTCATCTCTACAATAAATAAAAAAAACTAGCTGGGTGTGGTAGTGTGTGCCTGTAGCTCCAGCTATTTGGGAAGCTGAGGCGGAAGGATCTCCAGAGCCCAGCAGGTCGAGGCTGCGGTGGCCGGGAGCGGCCACTGCACTCCAGTCTGGGTGACAGAGTGAGACTCCAACTCAAAAAAAAAGAGGAATGGTTATGGAGAAAGTTTAACTCCGGGAGGGGGGCCAGGAATAAATAGGAATGGTGACTGCAAAATCTTTTATGCTGAGGTTTCAAGGTGCTTTATAAAAAGTTCCGTTTTTTCTTCATAGATGAGAAAAACAATATTATCAAAATCATGTTACCTAGAAAGCCAACAAAGAAACCAAGGACTTAGCTTAAAACCATGTTTTCTACAGATTTTGTTTGGTTCAATCTCTCATTCATGAATATTGACATTCTGAGCTTACAGGGTCAAGTGCTGATTTCGAGTTCTGTTCCTCTTTTTCTTCCTCTTCTTCCTCTGTGCTGTATTCTTCCATGACATCTCCATCAACAAAATGGATAATCCTTTTGGGTGTAGTCTTTTTGGAAGGTCCACTCTTCTCTAGTTCTAACTGCTGGAAACTGTCTTTCTCCATAAGGAAACACAACAACCAGTAAATTAAAAACAGGGTGCTTTAAGGCAAGTAGCCCAGGGCAGTGTTTATATAGCTGAGAATTGTCTAGTTATTGTCACTGTATGGTAAAGACAGAGTTCAGTGGTAATCACAGCTGTGATCTCATCAATTCTTCAAATCTAAGCAAGGGCTGTTCAGTTCTGTACCAAAATGAAAGAGATTTAATTAGTAGTAAAAAATGTGAACTTTGGGTCTTCAAACAGGGTTTTCTTCAATAGGGTTTTCTTACATTTTTTTAAAGCTTCAAATGCTAATAGAAGGGGCCATTACCCTACAGAAGTTTCTCAGTTGTTGGGAGCGGATGTGATGCGTGGAGCAGGCGAGCACTGCCACTGTAGCAGGCCTTAAGTACCCCAAGCTCGTAGGCAACGGCCTCGCTCGGAAGCTCTGCATTCTAGCCAAAGCCAGGCTGTAAGGAATGCAGCCTGCTACATGAAACGGTGTCTCAGATGCCCACATGTTGGGGTACACATAATACAGATAAAGTCTTAGCTACAATAAGATAACCACAGAACAGCTCGCCTCTTAGGTAGTAACGTAATTCCGTTGTAGCTCCCTCACAGACCTTGAATCCCTTCCAACTTCCCTTGTGCTTGATTATAAAATAAACCTGCTGAGCTAGTTCGGGGCCACTTCTCCATCAGAGGAAAGTGTTCCACCTGGCCCCAGCTTTTCTTTATGCCTTTGTGTATGTGTCTTTCTTAACCTCTCACTGCTCTCTCTCGGGACCCTTGAAGACAGCCGCACGGGCCGCTGCACTCAGTAATTTCAATAAATATTAAGGGACAGTCTAGGGAGCGAGATAAGAGTTAGCACAGACAGGAGAAAGTATCTTCAAATTACATATTTGGTAAAGGACTTATTTTCAGAATATATAAAGAACTATTACAATTCAGTAAAGGTAAAAGATAAATAATTCATTTAAAATATTGGTAAAAAAATTTGAAAAGACATTTTCCCTTGTAGATGACAAATTAAACATATGAAAAAAATGCTCAATGTCATTAGTCATTAGGGAAATGCAAATTGAAACCATAATGAGATACTATAACAGTCTCACTAGAATGAGTAAAATTAAAAATACTAACAATAACAAGTGCTGGGGAGCATGTGAAGCAACTAGAACTCTCATATGTTGCTAGTGAGAATACAAAATGGTACAGCCACTTCAGAAAAACAGTTTGTCAGTTTCTTAAAAGTTAGACATATAATCTTGTAATTTCACACCTTGATATTTACCCAAGAGAAATAAAAACATATGTCTCCCTAAAGATTTGTATGTGATTTTTCATAGTGGTTTTAATTTTGAGTACCTCAAACTCGAAACAATTCAAATGTTCATCAACTGATGAGTTAATAAGCAAAACTTAAAGAAATAGTACTCAGAAATTTAAAATAATGAAGAACTAACACTTGCAACATTATGAGGGACTCTCAAAAGCCAGACACTGAATAGTATATAATGCCATTTATGTAAAATTTTAGAAAAGACAGCTTTATAGTGGAAAACAGATCAGTGTTTGCTAAAGGTGAGGGGGTAGAGGGATGTGATTAATCTCAAAGGGACAAAAGGAAACTTTTGGGGGTGATGAAAATATTCTAATAGATATAATGATTGTAGTGGTGGTTACTCGACTATATATATTTGAATCAAATTCTACACTCAAAATTAGTCAATTTTATTGTATTTAAATATATCTCAAAAAAGCTGAATAGCTCTGGACCAGATTGCCTAAATTTAAAATCCTATTACTTAGTATTCCTATGCCTTGATTTCCTCAGCAATAAAATAATAATATAGAATGATATAGCACCAACCTTATAAAATTGTTATGAGGAGTAAATCAGTAAAGATACATAAAGGAGTTAAAACCATTTTTAGCAAATAGTGGTTAATGAAAGTTGACTATTATTAAGTACCTATCAATTGCGTTATAGTATATATGTCAGGCACTATTCCAATGTTGTAAGCACACAATTGTCTTACTTAATATTTAATATACTTTGAGATTATATCAGCAAATAAAGCAGACTGAGCTGGTGTGAAATAATTCTCCTTCCTGTTCCAAATACATAGAAATGCTGGGTAAAATGAAACAAAAACTGGAAATCATAGCTACATTAAGGAAATAAGAAAAAGTGAGGCATAGAAATAGAGACGAGAGAGAGAGAGAGAGAGAGAGAAAGTGACAGAGAGAAAGCAAGTCAGTCAGTTTAGTTGTCTGAATAAGAGAAAACACAAAATCATAAGTGTGAGCTGAAGCTGAGATGATTTTTGGGGATTTCGGAACTAGATATAAGCCCTGGGGCTGAAGTTTTATACCAATACAGAAAGGAGAGTTTAAATCAAAGATCCCATGAGTGTGGGGAGCCGAGATGAAGTTACCTGTATAAAATCAAGGTAATAAAGTACAATCTTATTTATAAATAGGGACTAGAAAACATACCTCTGGCCTGCAAAAGTAGCAAAGTAATTTGCCATCTCCTGACAACATAGGTAGAAATAGGCATCTGAAAAAAATTGGAATCTCAGGCCAGAACCACACATTGGTATGTGGCCCAAATTCATAGTCCGTGTATGTTATTAGGACCTAAAGTAAGGCAAATGGGCTAAAGGCAATGTAACCTGCAGAACTCTGTCAGATGCAGAACAAAATCATCTTAGAAGAAAAATGCAACAAGACAGGGTACACTGAATCTTCACTAAAAACAGCTCCTGATGAGGATGTGTTTACTGAGAAAACTTTCAAATTACATGAAGAAACTAGCCAACCTGAGGAAGGTTCAGCAAGTGAAAAAATTAGGAGACTCTTCATCTGAGAAATAGAAGTAATAGAACAACAGAAATCATTACATTGGTATGCTTAAAAAAGATAAAGAAAGCAAATATAATACCCAAAGGAACAGGTTGATTTGAAAAAGATCTAAGCAGAAATTCTAGAAAGAAAATATATAGTCACATAGGATAAGTTGGATATAGATTAAACATAGTGAAGAAATCTGAGAAAAACTCTCATAATACAGCATAAAGATATATGTTTCAGATGAAAGAAAAGTTGCAAGATAGATGGTTGACAACAGTGGCTCATGCCTGTAATTCCAGTATTTTGGGAGACTGAGGTGGGAGGATTGTTTGAGCCCAGGAGTTCAAGACCAGCCTGGGCAGCATAGCGAGACCTCATCTCTACAAAAAATCAAAAACTTAGCCAGGCATGGTGGCACACACCTGTAGTCCTAGCTACTCCAGAGACTGAGGTGGAAGGATTGCCAGAGCCCAGAAGGATGAGGCTCTCTAGCTTGGGTTACAGAGTGATACCCTGACTTTAAAAAATAAAAAGTTATGACTACATGCAGAAGATTGAAACAGGACCCCTATTTATCCCCATACACAAAAATTAACTCTAAATGGATCAGAGACCTAAATGTAAAACCTCAAACCATAAGAACCTTAGAAAATGAAGGACATACCCTCATGGAAATTGGAACTGGCATCCAATTCCTGAACAAAACCCGAAACCCACAGGCCATAAGAGATAAGATAGACAAGTGGGACCTCATTAAACTGACAAGCTTCTGCAAAGCCAAAGAAACCATCAAGAGAGCAGGGAGACAGCCTACAGACTGGGAAAAAGTATTTGCCAACTCCAGGTCCGACAAAGGCTTAACATCTTGGATCTACAAGGAACTCAAACGTGCTGAAAAGAAAAAAACAAACAACCCCATTATAAAGTGGGCGGGCAAAAGATATAAACAGACACTTCTCAAAGGAAGACATCCAAGCAGCCAACAGACACATGAAGAAATGTTCAACCTCACTAAGCATCAAGGGGATGCAAATCAAAACCACACTGAGATACCACCTAACTCCAGTCAGAATGGCAATTATCAATAACTCAAAAAATAACAGTTGCTGGAGAGGGTGTGGTGAAAAGGGAACACTTCTACACTGTTGGTGGGAGTGCAAACTAGTGCAACCTCTCTGGAAAACAGTATGGCAATCCCTAAAAGCTCTAAATATTGACCTCCCATATGACCCCACAATCCCCCTACTGGGAATATATCCTGAAGAACTCAAATCACTCTATAAAAAGGATACCTGCACATGTATGTTTATCGCAGCATTGTTCACAATAGCAAGAACCTGGAAGCAACCATACTGTCCATCAAAAGAGGACTGGATTAAAAAAATGTAGTACATATACATGATGGAATACTACGCAGCCATAAAAAAGAACAAAATCATGAATTTTGCAGCAACTTGGATGGAACTAGAGTCTATAATACTGAGTGATCTCTCACAGAAACAAAGATCTGAGTATCACATGTTCTCACTCATATA